TTTATGGGATAAAGTGCTCAATATCAGAGATAGAGCGTGTAATAAATATAAAATGAACATGCTATATGCAATCGTCAGGCCACGACGATTGCATATAGCATGAAACAGACTGTCGTCTAAGTGTTGATTTTATGTAACCTTTTTATATATATATATATATATATATATATATATATATATATATATATATATATATATACAAGACGGGATGGGAGAGGCCATTATACATAAAATAGGTAGTTACTTTTCAATCACACTGTATATATCGACAGAGTTATAATAGATCTACAGGCGAATTTAGAGAATAAATTTCATTTACAAGACAGTAAAGGGAAGGAAAATTAAAAGAACTAAAAACAGCTGCAAATAAATCAATTATATTGTGGCCACATTAAGTTGAAACGCTGGTACCCATACGATCACTGAAGTTAAGCAACTTTGAAATTGATCAGTACCTAGATAGATGATCGCTTGAGAATACCATTTGCTGTAAACTTGTATATGCAGGTGGTATAATGAATAATGGCTCGTGATTTTTAATGGGAGAGTCGAGTTCCAATTCCCGTTGGATTTGTTATATTCACATACGCACAAATACCCTTGTGAAAAGTATGACTCCACCTCCCCCCCCCCAGCTGTGGGTTAATTATTAAGAATTCTATCACTAAATCATAATTATTTCCCCCAAAATATTCTTACAATCTAAAAAGTATTTTCTGGTATTAAATTACCTGAAAATGGGTTGATAAGCCGTAGAAATCGAATCAATCAGTCAATTAAAGAATTAAAATCAAAAGAGATGTTAAAATCAAGCAGGTACAGGAATTTAGCAAAACGGCATAGGATTAGCGAAAGTATTAAAAAATAGTAAAATAATCGAAACAAAGAAAAATGGCCTGAACTGTTATGTAATATCTAATCTCTTATATGATAGTGACTGATAAACAATCTTCTTGTGGTTGAAAAAGAGATCTGAAGCGACTGGGATATGATGCTACTAAGGAAACTTATATTACTATCAGGAAGAGAGAATTGAAATTTCTAGAACAAATAATGAGGAAAAAGTTCTTGGAGAATCTAACACTCACAAGATATTGACTGAAGACATAAGATACCAAAGGAAACAGCGAATGAACTACTTAACGATTTTGCTGGAATAAGCGACAGAACAAGACCAAATAAGGGATAGTAAAGAGCCAGATGTTACTTAGAGCAACCAGATGTTGCCCATGTTATGAAAAGATATGTTATATAAAATGTGTACTTATTGACACTTTTAGGCTTGAATTGTGCTTCCCAAATATCCATCCACCTTTTTGTTTCTTCTCTTCATGTCTTCTTGGTATGTCTGCAACGAGACATTTAAAATATATAGGTCAAAAGGCAAATTAAAAGGAATTCATATAATTCTAAGTTTACATCCCTTTATGCTTTTATACTTAATTTCTTTTTACCTCTCTTTTCTTCCTCACATACGTATCCTTTTTTATTACATGGTATAGTTTTGTCATATATATATATATATATATATATATATATATATATATATATATATATATATATATAAAGAGACAAGGGAAAAACTATACATTGCCTAGATGAAGCCCTTCAGAGGAAGAAATGCGTCGGCTAAGTATAGATTTTTCCTCTTTTCACTTTTTATTCATTTTGTCTCTTCTACAGATACAATCCACATGGGAATATTTACACACACACACACACACACACACAGGGCACACAGACATACACACACGCACACACATACATATATATATATATATATATATATATATATATATATATATATATGTGTGTGTAAAAACCTATATTGAGGTCTCACACTTACACACACACCCATAATAATATATAAACTTACACACATCATACACACTAGCGAAGAGCTAAGTGATAACATACACTTAACACAGACGCATTCCCTTCCCAGGAATCAATAAAATAGTCAAAATGACCAAGGGAATTCAGAGTGGTATGAATCTATCGAACCTCCATCTTAAAAACAACTTAAAACAGTCGGTTTGACCAACACAAACACTGACCAAAATTAACGATAAAAAAAAAACAAATGACTACCACAGATAAAGTTCATTTTCTTCAGAAAGTCATTTATTCCTGTAGTTCACAGCTACTAACAAGCAGAATTTTTTTCTTTTGATGATGGCCATGCTGGCCGAAAATAGCCGAGGAATCTAATTGAAATAATAAAACAAAAAATATTAATATACAGCCCAGTGTATGAAAATAATAATTTTTAATTTGTCAATATTTTTAATTTTTCAAAACATTCTGTTTCCTGTTTTAACGCACTCGTAAAGCATTACGATTCTGTTTAAGCAGGAAAAAAGCCTCGAGGTTTTGACTTCAATGTCCACTTTTAGATTTACATATGCTCTATCTCTGATATATATATATATATATATATATATATATATATATATATATATATATGTGTGTGTGTGTGTGTGTGTGTGTGTATGTGTGTGTGTGTGCAAATATATAGAAAAATAGAACCGTTAGGTTTATAATCCGAAGTTTTTTAGTATTTTTGTTTTATTTTTAAAAAACAATGCTCAATACATAAGTAGAGCCTAAATTATAATTATTGTTTTAAATATTATTCCATCGCTACATAAGTGTTCTCATGTTTCAAAAACAGAAACTAAAAACTTCAATTTAATTATAAAAATTAAATTGAATTAAAGTACCCAGCTCTGTTTCATCCTCAAGCGAATTTTGGATTAACTAATCTTGAAATTTACGAATGTGTATGCTTATAAAGCTCCGTAAATTTCAAGATTAGTCATTCCAAAATTCGCTTGAGGTTGAAATATATATATATGTATGTGTGTGCGCGTGAGTGCGTGTGTATGTTTGTGCGTGTATTTAAGCAGCACATCTTCATTCAAACCTGTTTCATTGAATAATATCGGCATATAATATCTTTCTAGTTCTCTAATCAGTTCCTGATGTTAAGTTGAAATTCAGCAAGGAAGGTGCCATAGTTTTTTTCCTACCCAAGGACATCCGAGATCATCTTCATGGGTTAATTACAAAAACAGACTTTATTGTAATTGGGATCGTTGTGATGCTGATTTTTAAAAACACGCGTGAACGCGCTCCGTTATAATTATTATAAATTATTCCGTTGTAGGTACAGATTTTTTATTTATTTATTTTATTTTATTTTTTTTTTTTTGCAAAACAAGCGTTCCAGTATAAGGGAGCTGATCAGAGATTGGTAGAAATGCAAAATGTCATCAAATGTTTGTTAAATGTACTTCAACATGTTGTGGCTACACTCGTAATAAATTTTGTTGAGTGTTAGTTGGTTATTATATTCTTCTCTCAATAATTATTTTATTTGTTGGCACTCGTATCAATCTATTTCTCTCAGTTTCATCTGCCTTATTTAAATCCTTTCAGGTGTAGAGTAAGAAAAAAAACCGTGCAAAAAATTCTTGAAATCTAATTCATTTTCATTGTGCGCTCTCCGGATAAAACTTTGGATATATGGAAGCCATTTTCACACCTAATTATTATATCTCACAAGGGTTTCGAATGAGGTTAGAAGATGCGAGACTTCACACAAAAATAACCGTTCAAAATCCTCCGGCCACCTGACCTTTTTTTTTTTTTTTTTTTTTCACTTTTCTGTTCCATTGTAATAAACGCAAATATTGTTTTCCGAACAGGACCGATTTTTTCTCGCATATAGGTTAAATCCTGACATCGAATTCCGACATTCTTTCATTACTTGAAATCATGGCGAAAATTCCCAAATAAACTAAAATTGTGATAGTGGAGATGGCCAAGAATATGAACCTGCGAATAATCGCTAAGGAACTTGGAATTTCGTGAAGCGCCATTTCAGAAATCCTCTCGAAGTCTCAAAGCACTGGAGGTGTTTTGAGTCGAGCAAAAGTATGGTCACCTATGAAAGCAGCAGCAGCAGCATAGACTAATACGGAAACTGATGAAGATAGCAAAAAGCTCAGTAAAAGAAAACTGATAGACAATTGATGGATGAGTACGGTGCGTTCAATTTGGTGTCAGTAGATAACACTAAATGCACCCGTCAAGAACATGAAAGGAAAAGATTCATTCCAACAATGAAAACAGAAAGCATTTAAAGACAACATAATGTTGGTCAAAATGGTATGAAATGTGTGATGCAGAGGCTGGGAGTGAGTTCACATTCAGTGATAAAACGAAAATAGAACTGGATTTCTAATAATTGTCAATGAAGGCCGATAGGAAAGCGAACTGACCCACGTTACAAAACAAAAACAATGGAGTTTTGGTGGTAGGGATTCTGATGTTTTACGACTGCATAAAAAGAGATCGTTCAAGTAAATTGGTTAAAATTGACGATAGCTTAAATAGTGCCAAATGTATCCTGTTGCGGAAGGAATATTTCATACCAGACTTGGATCAAGGCGAGATATTTTAGTATTACGGAGCACCATGTTTTTTGACATGCAACACAACAGAGAGTGATTGATGAATGTGTCACTGTATTAAAAGATTGGCAATATTTGAGACCTGATTTAAGTCATGGATCAAATGTTGACAGAATTAATGAGTAGAATTGAGTTGTGGGGGCCCAACAATAGGGAATATTATGCAGTTCCTCTGAATCTGGTGACGGATCTGTACTCATCATCTCACATTGAGGCAATCATTTAAGACGCAACATGAAATATTAACATCATGAAATCATTTTTATTACAGACATTTTTTTGTTTTTAAAACACCGCATCTGACTTGATTTATATGAAGGAACCGAAATCTTTGTACGGTGATTTTGCGTTACGCATCTTACAAGATACTTCAAAACCCTTGCTAAAAATGACGATAATTGGGTGTGAAAATGACTCCAATATGGCCAAAAAATTTTCTGTAGACAGGACATTAAAGATGGGAATTGTTTTAAATGTACAATAGTATAAAATGACCTTAGACTTTTGCGTGGTGCAATATAC